TACGGTCTAGCAAAACGCCAGCGCGTTACCAGTGCCAAAATCTGTGGTTGCTAGAACAGGTGAAATAGGGTGAAGACAGAAAAACCCAATCCGAAGGTGCAGAATCTGTGTACTGAGCACCATGATTCAAGTACTTCCGCTTTTAGAGGAGCAAATTTATTCACCGAGAATAAAACAGCCACAGTGAAACTTTACCAGGTGTGACGGTATTTCGGAAGCGAGTGACATTCTGCACAAAAATGAAGTAATTGATGTTATTAGGTCATGGTACGCGCTAAAAAAACAGATACTCTTATTTAGGCCATTCTTCAGCTGAATGCAAGCTGCCTTCAAACTAACGTCAACAATGACAGCAGTAAGACGCCGAGTTGTTGTTGTACACTTAGAAGCTAGCAGTCAAACCAGCGGTTTTGATTGTGATTGGACCTCAGCGTTCTAATACAAGCCCAGACTGCAGAAAATCTTTGATGCAGTGAACACTGAACATTGAACTGAACGGTAAAGGCCTGAATAAAAGTTCAAAGTTGTTATATGATATAGCTTTCGTTATTTCATGTGATGACCTAGGTTTTCGTCTTGAATTCGTGTCTTCGACGAAAGTAAAGCTGTTATTTCGTATTTGTGATTTTAGTATCCCTTTCGAATAACCGGATAGGTACTTCGATCTACCGAATATGGCACTATCTGAACCACGAAGGGAGCTTTGATTAGCGCCCTCGGCTGAGGAACATCTCCCCTAATTCTAAGTATGCCAGATTGGCTGTCGAACAAATAAAACATAACATGACAAATAAATGTCCGGTCTTCTTCTCTCTGCGCTAGGAGTGTTTCGGCTCGTGTCATAGCTGGGGATTTGTGCACTCGTTCTCAGGTCGCGTTCAGTCGTTGACTGTATCCGTTCACATACGAGGTGGTTCGGTGTACTCGTCATGGATCCTGCAAAAGTTGAGGTACTGCCTGAGCAACAGCTTAAGCATATCCAAATTCTTACACAGCTGGGAGTTCATGCTAAAATTGCTACGTCCAATCCGGTGCCTAGTCAACAGGTTGACGCAGTTGCAAACGGCATAACGGAGTTTAATTATGATCCAGACGCTAACGTCCTGTTCGAAACATGGTTCTGCCGCTACGAGGGCTCATTTCGACTTGATCCTGCTGTGTAGGACGATGCATGGAAAGTTTGGCTCTTCCTTCGTAGCCTTGGTCCAGTAGACCTGGACAAGTATTGCAATCAGATTCTACCGCAGAACCCATGCGACAGGCCTTTCGATGACGCAGTGCAGACACCGATGCATACCTTTAAGGAACGATTTTCTCTGTTCATTACGTGGTGCCGCTTTTTAAAGTTGATTATCAACGAGTCGGACGACTTTTTGACGTACGTTTGCACTGCTAATCGAGGATGAAAACGTTTTACATTGAAGTCGCTAACAACTGACTGATTCCAATCTCTCCTTTCCATATGCAGCCTCTCCCAAATTCGCATACGCGTCTTCTTAACCGTCTTGAACAAGAACCTTCGCTGAAACGCAGTGACACGCTGGCGAGTACCGACGGTTGACCAACCTACGGTATGACACCGCTTTGGTCCAACCTTAGGTCAAGGTGGTTCCGAAGTTCATGCGTTTCGTCAGGCCTCCCAACCCTCTGGTTCTCAAATATCTGGTCCGTCCTCCTCTGGCCCGTCGGGTTCTGTAACTACCCAATCAGGTCCGAAAAATGTCTGAAAGAAGAAGCATTCATCCGCATACTGGCACTGCGCCGCTTAGAACTTCGTCAGACTGTACCCTCAGAACCAACACATGCAAGACCGTGAATTACAAAGGCGGATATTGTCGGGCACGTTCATCCAATATATTCCATGGCGCTTCCAAGCAGCAATCATACATGCAGAATTCCAAACCGGTGGGCTCCGCCTTGAGTCTGAAGGCAACGTTGCAAGTCAGTGCCACATTCTACTGGAAATTCGTCACTGGCCAGGTTAGTGGACGTCCGGCCCAGCTGCAGATGGACACTGCTTCGGACATCGCTATTATATCGGAGAAGCTTTGGCACACACTTGGGCAACCGCCAGTAAGACGGTCCTTCAGAAATACCGTCAGTGGTAATGAGTTGCAGCTTTCCGAGGAATTTCAGTTCTGCGTCTCATTCACGGAAACGAAATCCATTTGATCATGTTACGTGACAGCCGAAATGAATCTTTTTGGTCATGACTAGTTCGATTGTCTTGGTTTGGCATTTATCCCAATCAGTTAAATCTGTAACGCGGTCGGTTCTGGCGTTTCTGATCCATATCATCCGGACGATATCATTCTGCGTTTCGTCAAAGTTTTTGAGCCTGGATCCATTCGCTGTTTTGTACCACATAAGCAACCTTTCGACTTCGACCGGATGCTATCCTGCCCCGAAAGACCAGTTCCGTAGCCTCTTTGCCACAATTTGACGCAGGATTTCGGCAAAAAGGCATCTTATCTTCATCAACATACTCCACATGGGCGGCACCAATCGTCGTAATAAATAAGCCAAATGGGTCAGTCTGCATTCGTGCCGACTACTCAACAGACCATCCGAGCAGCACTACTACCGCTGTGCCCGGTGATTTATTCACCATTATGAACGGCGGCAGCTGTTCTGCCAAGCTTGACCTGACCGATGCATGTTTTCAGATCCCGATCTCTGCGAACCATCGACACACCCAGGAACCAGTACGGAGACAAACGTTTACCATTTGGGGTTAAGACGGCATCTCCAATCTTCCTGAAGTTGACAATATCCTCTGTGGCATTCCATGTGTGGCCGCATAACTGAACGATGTGCTGATTGCCGCGGGTTCCGCGATGAACTGCGCATGCAAATCGATATGGCGCTTCAAAGCATCCAGGATAATGGCCTTTACCTCCGTCCTGAAGAGTGTTATTTCTCAATGAGCGCCTTCAAGTATATCGGGTTCATTTTCGATGGTTCCGGTCGAGAACACGCGAGTTATTCAATAGATGCTGACACCCAAAAATGTTACTACGCTTCGCTCATTCTTGGGTTCCATCAGCAACCATTCAGTATTTCTGCCTGCACTACGGTGTCCCGCCGGCTATTCAATCACCTCCTGGAAAAGGACGTGCTACTGGTTTAGTCAGAAGAATGTCAAGGAGCTTTCTGCAAGCTCAAGTTCATGCTCAGGTCCGAAATGCTATTGACGCACCATGATCCCAAGCTGCCAATTTTCGTGGCAGCCAATAATTCCGTTTCCGTCGGGCACACCAATTACATCATTCAAGCCTGAACACGCTCGCCTATTCAGACGTAAAAATTCAGGTGCGTCCAACGTGCGTTGGTAGAGTGGTGGTTACACGCTCGTCTCGCATATCAAATGTCCGGGGTTCAAATCCCTGCACGGCCATTGGATATGCACTGCTGATGAGCTCCACTAAGAGCGAAATTCGAGTCCAGTGCTTCCCTTTGTTGTGGACTCACCGGACTAATTACGCCAGAACGGGAACGCGGCCGTTCAAAATGAGAGTGGTGTGATTATGAACAAAATTCCGTTTCCGATGTCATTGCCGTTATCCTTCATGTATTTCCCGAACTAAACTGAGAAAGTGATCATGCATGCATCCAAGTCACTTATCCCAGCGGAACAAAAACAAATTAGGGGGTATTGGCGCTAGTTATTGCCGTCCGCCGATTCCAAAAATAATTTGTGGCAAGTGGTTCACTCTTCTGACCGATCACAACTCCTTGCTGTCAATTTTTGGCTCAAAATCAGGCGTACCCACTCATTCGGCGAATCCGCTGCAGCGGTGGGCGCTCATTACGCTTGGCTGCGACTTCGGCACTCAGTATCGATGCACTGAAATTTCGGCCAAGCGGATGCCCTCTCACGAGTTATCGACAATCATACTGCTCCAGCAAACGACTCCATCATTGAGGCCTCATCAATCGATGACCACGCCAGCCAGCAGCTGTTCGAAACAGTCCGTGCCTCACAAGTGCCTGTACTGGATATCCAAAGTGAAACTTCAGCTGTTTTGAAACTGCGGCTGATTCAACTCTTCAACAGGAGATCCAATTCCTCAGGGCGGTTAACCGACAAACCCTGTGGAAGACGAGCTCTAAGCACTTTTCCATCGTCGGAACTGTTTGAAATGTCAACAAGCTGCAAAAGACCTCCACGCCTTTCACTTGTTGCCTGGCCTCGACTCGAACGCCCCCGCCGTACTTCACCTCCGCTGAATGTCCGGAATTCTCTCTGCGCTAGGAGTTGTTGGGCTCGTGTTATACCTGGGTATTCGTGTGCTCGTTCACAAGTGGCATATAGTCGTTGGTCGTATCCGTTCAGATACACTACAACTCCATCGAAATTAGCGGAGTTGAGACTAGAGAACGGCTAGGAAAATTACGGTAAAATGTTTAATAGGACGTTAGTTAGCCGGGGACGATTTTTATTCCAGGTTGTTTAGCGGTTAACACCACATGAGTTCTTGTTAATAAAACCTCCGTATACCTGTTGCACGCTAACTGCTCACCTTAAAACAACCGGAAGTGGACACGGGTAAGATTAGGAAACGTTTGCCTCACCACACAGCGTTCCAGAAGCAAACGTAAGGCTAGCTCCTAATGCTTAGAAAGTTCGTATGACATTAGTTCTTTAAGGCCTCAGATATTTGCAACCATCAAACATAAACAGATGGCCACTTCGCATGTGAATTTCCGAGCCTCACGGTTCCAGATGGGTTGAACACTTTCCATTTTGTGTCATCCGTCAGTTCGCCTGCAGTTCTGGTGGCATTAGCATGGCTGTATTCAGTCAACAAATGACTAAGACAGAAACACAAGTCGCACGCCAGTCAACCACTATACTTTTACTGCACTCATTCGTAACATTAGACCACACTTTCGGCTACTCGCTAGTTTGTAAGTAATAAAGCACGCACATAGCTTTTGGAGTGAGATGCTAGTTCGAAAATAGTTGACCTACTCCTACTGTTCTGTTAGCTTGTTTTATGCTGTCCACGACCATTTGTGTGCTCAGGGTAAGTGTTTTGCAGCGTGCCTGATTCCGCTTCCGCTCTGACCAGCTGACCTACATACGGCATAAAGGTAATGTGTTCTCACGTTTTGTTCTAAGGTGGCAGGATAACTAACAGGATTCAAGGAGTTTAATCATACAAGTAAAAACCATCTTCGTCAAAGCAGGAGAACTTTCGTCAGTTGACAAATTACCCCGTAGTAACTCACAAGGTGTCATTTATACGCGTCAGGAGCTGTCTGCAACACATGGCTCGGGATATCTGATGGTCACGAAGTCACGTGTGCGTTTCGTTTGACGGTTGTCGGGAGAAAATACTGTGCTAGCGCTTGAGGAGTTTAAAAGCTCAAAACTGAGGGACACGTGACTTGACACATGAAAATTTTGAAAGCTTTCTTACAGACGAATGACCGAATTAGGAAATACAGGTGTGGGGATTATTTTAGTAAAATGAAATACCAGGAGGCTTTGTTTACGAGACGATCCTCTGTGGCTGTTCGGCCGGTTGTGTGTATTTATTTCTGTACTTTTGGTCTTCTTGTCACTTGACGGTTCAGTCCACAATAATTCACCGTACACCAAAGTACGAAGGAATTAGCAGCGATAAAACAGGAAACCCACAGCTATAAATCAAGTGCTACTTCAAATTCTCTTGTGGTATTTGAAGGCCTGGAGTTACCATACTTACTGAATTATTTTCAGTAGCCTAAGAAGCTATTCATTTTTTTGCGATCGCAGCATGTCCAGTCAACCTTTGTTGGTGTGTTTTAGAAGAGCGATCAAAATACAACCGCAATTCTGTCTAACACACATGAAATGGATTCAGATCAAATTTTGATGTGTTATCTCAATTTTATTTAACCTGGAAACGTCCCAGGCAACACCATACTTTGCAGCTAACCTGAAAGTTAGTCACATTTGCTGTACACCTCGTATACCTGAATGCATGCCAAAAGTTCCAACGTTAAACACTTTAGCATTTCGTACTGGAAATTAAGTATTTTATCCCAAATAAGAGACGAAGGTCACACTGGTGAGAATAACTTGCATAAAACAGCATACTGTGTAGGCGCTATCAGGGTCTTTTGTTTTTTTTTGGTTCCATGGGAAAAAAGTAGATCGCACTACACTGTCATCCTTCAACATCAAGTTTATCAGATGCAAATGGTGCGGGCAAAACGCTCCAAGGTATTCGTGACATTCAAATCAGAGTAAAACGAATGGTCGTTCAGGGTCTTAACAACCTCGTCATCTCTGGTAATTAGGACGCAATTAGCAACACTGTTTTTATTCCCGAGAACATTGTCTTGTTTTCCACAATGCAGGTACATCTATCGGCTGCATGCTACAGAGGATCACCAATGATCATCACCACTTGCCAAATAATTTGAACTGGTCTGTCCAAACTAGGTGCATACCATCGACTTCTACGTTGGTTAGATATTCTGTAGAGAAAGAATGATTGGCAAGGAGTCCCTGAAGTCATCCGGATAGATACACAGCCCGACGTGATTTTAAAGGAGTTGGAGCAGCTGGTACAATATGGGCTTTTGGTTTCAAGGAAAAGTGCCGATGACCAATAAAAGACCTAGGATGTGCGCCCAGCGGGAAGGCGAAGGTGGTTCACACGCTGTCGAGTATGATGCAGCGCACAAGCCTTCGGAGGCGACGTAATGATTGGTTGACAAACATGTGCGATCCCACCGGACCACTGCTGCCAGAACATAAGCTCATGACGACGGAGACCGGTGAAGTTACAACCTTATCACTAAGATACCATCAGTATACGTCAGTTCCCCTAGGCTTCAACGTAACACCGTCTCAATACAGCAC